CACACACACACACACACACACACACACACACACACCGGATCAATGTAAAATAATTCACACAAAAAGTGGATCCTGGAATTTAAAAAAAACCTTGGTTATTATTATTACTTTTAGTTTTACTGTTATGATTATGAATGTAACAAAAGCATTTTCCAAATATGTGATGAAGAATCATCTCGTTATCTTATTATTCATGTGACCTCTTGCCAGGTTGTTGATGATGATGTTGGGTTAAGTGAAGCCAGATCACAGACAGACATCCTGGATCTGTTGAACCTGTGTCGTAGGTTTCAGGTCAACATGCTGATGCTGTCATGTTAATAATGTCGGGATAAACACAGAGTTTCTGGTGGTAATATTCTTTTTATGACACAGGTATGAAAAGAAAAAGGAGAACATTTTGCATGGGTGCTCATGATTTGTCAAATCTAAAGCGCTTGGAAACTTTAGACCCGGCAACAACTCAGTCATCATGCGTCTTAACTTGTGGCCGTGCATTATTTGTCTCACCCACGTCCCCAGGACGCCTCAGTGTCCCGTGTGACTCACCAGCCCTGCGAACGACTTGATGTTGTTCCTTCCTAAAGACAAAATCTTCAGGTTCTCTGGAAGGACCAAACATCCCATTACAACAACACGTTTCCATCTGTGGTCAGAGTGTGTGTGGGTGTGTGTGTGTAGTCAGCACTCACTCAGGCCGTTGAGGTTTGTTATCTTCTCGATGCAGTTTGTGGACAGAGACAGTTTCCTGTGAAGAAAGCGACACAACAACACGTGATGGATTTGAAGGATGAGTGTTTGGCCCAAACCTGCCACTGCTGCTGTTTTTAAGGCTGTTTCTGGGTGTCCTCCTGTTCTGCTGACCCGCACAGTTTAACATGAACAAGTGAAGTACTTCTGACTTTATGAGACGGCGTCCCATCTGCACGACTCACTCGCAGTTTGTTAGCGTGGAGAGCGATGCGTCCATCTTCTCTATAGGAGGAATCTGACCGTACAGCTTGACGGCTTTTGCCTCGCTTCGTTTCTCGCCTGACTTCTCCTCCTGCACACACACACAGTCACATACATGTACACACTGTGGCAGCCAATGTGTGAGTCTGGGTGGTGTCGTTCTTGGACATTAAGGTGTCTGAATCTGCAGAGCTGATTGTGGAATTCAAGATGAATCCTATGACTGTCTCTCCTGTGGTGGTAAACTATTTTGTGTAGCAGTGTAAATATCTTGGCACGTGAATCAGTGATGAGCTTCAGGTGGACAGAAAAGAATAATGCTCATAAAGACCTTTAAATCTTTGGACTATCTGCCTTCTGAGCTCAGAATGTTGACATTATTTTTCAGAGCTCTGGTTGGTCTGATAGGCAGTGATTTCATGCTTGATCTTGGACTAGAGCTGCTGGGAAGCGGGTTAAGGTCTGCAGCACTGGTAACCATGGTGATATAAAGCCAAAGTTTTCTGAATAAGTCTCAAAGCCTGTTTCAGAGTACAGCCCACTGCTGTCTTTCTAAAGGAAATGATTTTTCCATGTGTTTTATGTGATGTTTTGTTTGGTTTACATGCGAGTCCACTGTATTATGATTGATTGATTGATTGGCTGAGTGA